AGATTTAATAGCCTAGCGATCTGAGTCTGATCGTCGTTGCAGACTAGATGAAATTGTTAATTACAACTTTAAATGATGATTTATTAAGTTATTTACGAAAACGCACGCACCTTCTTCCCAACCGGAACCATAAGACTGTGTGTTCGTTTATCATCCATAGTAACGGTAGGTCTGTTAAGCTGGAATGGTCATTTGAGCAAAATCACTTAAATATTTGCTAAATATTTAGTGCTCATTTAGTGCTAATTTAGTGTGTTCTACCTATTATAACGATAACCGCTTAATACAGCACCAAATAGAAGCATCAATAATTTAGTGCTCATTTAGTGCTGCCGATATCCGCAAAAACAAATATTGGGAAAATATTTTTTTTAATATCATAAATTCTGCTACTTTGTCGTCTTTACCAGAGTATGTAATGAAAAAATTGACATCAGAGTGGGCTATATAAATTAGTGCTCATTTAGTGCTGTCGATGTACGAAAAAGGATTTGAGTAATTATTATTTTTAAATAGCATAAGGAGCATTCCTTTGTGCCTCGGGTTGGAGTTTGCGTGTATGTAAGAGAGGACATCTGTTCTCGACGCCTCGGCAGTCTTGAAGGTTCGGACCTGTCCATCCTTTGGCTACGCGTAGACAGCGACGACCATCCGCGCGTCTACGGGTGCCTCTATAGGTCCCATAGCGGTAATGCCGAAACAGACCGACTCATCGACCACGTCCAAATGGCTACAGATTCCTTGCTACAACAGGTCCCATCCGCAGAGATCGTGATCCTTGGCGATTTTAACGCCCACCATGCCGAATGGCTCGGTTCACGTTTAACCGATCATGCGGGGAGATCTGTTTATGACTTTGCCTTGGCATATGGTCTGACACAACTGGTTACATCGCCTACGCGGATTCCAGATGTTGAGGATCATACACCTTCCCTGTTGGACCTTCTGCTGACCTCTCATCCGGACGGATATCAGGTTTCCGTCGATGCCCCTCTTGACTCTTCGGACCATTGTCTGATCCGGAGTGTGGTGCCACTCACGCTCCCCTCGCGGTTGCGTTCTGCAGGTTGCCGCCGTGTTTGGCATTACAGGTCGGCAGATTGGGACGGAATGCGGTCTTTCTTTGCTTCCTACCCATGGGGGCGGGTTTGCTTCTCGCCGGATGATCCCAGCGCTGTTGCTGACTCTGTCACTGATGTGGTGCTACAGGGAATGGAACTATTTATTCCATCATCTGTGGTACCCATCGGAGGCAGATCTCAGCCTTGGTTTGGTCGCCCCTGTAAGACTGCATTACGCAGTAAGCAGGAGTGTTATCAAGCCTGGGCTGCGGCTTCGGCGACTCGGGATGTAAACACCAGCACACTTAAAAAGAAGTATAACTTCGCCTCCAGGTCCTTCAAAAGAGTTATTGCCAAGGCAAAGTCAGAGCACATAGGCAGAATTGGCGAGAAACTAGTTCGCCTTCCTTCGGGAACCCGTGCATTCTGGTCTTTCGCCAAGCCTGTCCAAGGGAATTTCTGTAAGCCATCACTACCATCTCTGCACAGGGAGGACGACTCACTGGCCCACGATGCAAAAGAGAAAGCCGACCTTTTAGGCTCCCTTTTTGCGTCCAACTCGACTGTTGATGACGGGGGGAACACACCGCCGACCATTCCGCGGTGTGAGTGCTCCATGCCGGATGTGCGGTTCTCACAGCGCTCGGTTCGCAGAGCACTCCTCTCCCTTGACATCCACAAGTCGAGTGGGCCTGACGGAATCCCCCCAATTGTGCTGAAGACGTGTGCTCCGGAGTTGGCACCGGTTCTAACGCGTCTTTTCCGGTACTCCTACTCCCTAGGCGTAGTCCCGAAATCATGGAAGACAGCTTTTGTCCACCCGATCCCTAAAAAAGGCGACCGCTCAGACCCGTCCAACTACAGGCATATCGCCATCACCCCCTTGTTCTCCAAAATAATGGAATCCGTTATAAACTGCCACCTCATGCGGTACCTTGAGGATCACCAGCTGATTAGTGACCGCCAGTACGGTTTTCGTCGGGGTCGATCAGCTGGTGATCTTCTAGTCTACTTAACTCATAGATGGGCGGAGGCAGTAGAGTCCAAGGGGTAGGCATTGGCCGTTAGTTTGGACATTGCAAAGGCCTTCGATCGGGTTTGGCACAAAGCGCTTCTTTCGAAGCTCCCTTCCTATGGGCTTCCCGAGAAATTATGCAATTGGATCACCAGCTTTCTTGCAGATCGGAGCATCGAGGTCGTTGTAGACGGTGCATGCTCCGACTACAAGCCTATTAACGCTGGTGTTCCACAAGGCTGCGTGCTATCACCAACGCTGTTTCTTCTGCATATCAATGATATGTTGCAAGCCGGTAGCATTCATTGCTATGCGGATGACAGCACTGGTGATGCTCTATACACCAGCCGTGCCAATATTTCTCGGGAAAACGTCACCGAGTACCGGAACAAACTTGTGTCTGAAGTCGAGTCTTAGCTGGACAAAGTCTCGGATTGGAGGCGACTAAATCTAGTCCAGTTTAATCCTCAGAAGACACAAGTTTGTGCGTTTACCGCTAAAAGAACCCCTTTGTCGTATCTCCTCAGTTTCAAGGTACTCCCCTTGTTGCCTCAGCCAGTATCGGAATCCTCGGCGTCGACATATCGAATGACGTGCAGTTTCGTGGTCACTTGGAAGAGAAGGCCAAATTGGCCTCTAAAAAGCTTGGCGTGCTCAGCAGAGCGGGACAGTATTTCACGCCGGCTCAACGCCTGCAACTTTACAAGGCGCAGGTTCGGCCTCACGTGGAATACTGTTCCCATCTCTGGGCTGGGGCTCCCCAGTGCCAACTCCTTCCACTTGACCATCCAGCGCAGAGCGGTTCGAATCGTCGACGACCGAGTCCTTTCCGATCGGCTCGACTCATTGGCGCTGCGAAGAGATGTTGCATCTCTTTGCATTTTCTTTCGCATTTACCACGGGGAGTGCTCTGAGGAATCGTTCGGATTAATCCCACCTGCCAAATTTCACGAACGCACATCGCGGCAGAACTCCCGATACCATCCACACCATTTGGATGATTGGCGGTCCACCACTGTGCGATTTAGAAGATGTTTTCTTCCTCGCACAACTTCCTTGTGGAATAGTTTACCACCAGCGATTTTTCCGGACCGATACGACTTAGGGACCTTCAAGAAAAGAGCCTACTCTTTTTTAAAAGACCGGCAACGCTTCTGCAATTCCCCTGATGTTGCGGTTGTTCGTGGGCGGCGGTAGTCACTTACCATCAGGTGAGCCGCATGCTCGTTTGCCCCCTCTCCTATAAAAAAAAAGAAGAACAGTAAGGTCGGCTACACTGCACGCTTGCAAATATCACATGCCCTAGATATTTCTTAAATATGCAGATCTCCTCACGATATTTTCTACCTACTTGTTTTTTTCTTTCTTTATTAAAAAAAGAATAATAGTTACTTTATTACATAACTACTCCCTTTAACCACTCCAAGTAAGCTTAAAATGCCTGTGTTAGGAGTAGGAGGGTACGTGGTAAACCACAGTAGTCGAATGTCGGATTCGAACCCACGACTTTCTGAGTTTCTAATTCGCACTCTTAACCATTAAGCTAACCATAAAGTTTAACAATAGGCTTGTAGTCGGAGCATGCACCATCTACAACGACCTTGATGCTCCGATCTGCAAGGAAGCTGGTGATCCAATCGCACAATTTCTCGGGAAGCCCATAGGAAGGGAGCTTCGAAAGAAGCGCTTTGTGCCAAACCCGATCGAAGGCCTTCGCAATGTCCAAACTAACGGCCAACGCCTCCCCCTTGGACTCTACTGCCTCTGCCCATCTATGGGTCAGGTAGTCCAGAAGATCACCAGCTGATCGACCCCGACGAAAACCGTACTGGCGGTCACTAATCAGCTGGTGATCCTCAAGGTACCGCATGAGCTGGCAGTTAATAATTGATTCCATTATTTTGGAGAACAAGGAGGTGATCGCGATAGGCCTATAGTTGGACGGGTCTGAGCGGTCGCCTTTTTTAGGGATCGGGTGAACAAAAGCTGTCTTCCATGAATTCGGGACTAGGCCTTGGGAGTAGGAATACCGGAAAAGACGCGTTAGGACCGGTGCCAACTCCGGAGCACACGTCCTCAGCACAATTTAGAGGCGTAAGAGGCATGCAGACATGTCGAGCAGTTGAGACAATTAAAAGACGAAAGAAGTAAGAGAACTAGTATTAAGGCATTAACCGCTGTGATTCGTATGGTGAGTGTAGAGAACCGGAGACCCTTTATACTGGAAACTAGGCATTCCATCTTAGTCCTCGCGGGTGACAAAGCATCTGCATTTTGATTATTTATTGAGGATAGATGTGGATGTCTATAGGTCACAGCAATCACTTACCATCAGGTGGACTGTGTGCTCGTTTGTCACCCTACCTATAAAAAATCACAATGAACAAAAAAAATTGTAGGAATACAAAATTATTTACGACCAATAAGATAAAACCAAAACAAAGGCCGTAAAATTTCTGTAATGATAATGATGAATATTTATGGCTGACAACATTTTAAACTGATTGCAGTTAGCTTTCACTACTAATACAGGGCTGTGTGGCCTGTGTTATTTTATGCATGACGTTATCACGATATTGCTATTTAAAAATTAAAAAGTTATTATTCTAGGCTAAACATTACTATCGTTTATATTACAGTCATTTATTGTTCTTAATAAGGTGGAATACAAGTACAGCTAAGTGCAAAAAGTCAGTGAGATACGTGCTGCGGGGAGTGACGTTCAGCGTGCATGACAAACACACTCACTTGTGTTAGGGTCACAGTTTTTGAACCACCAGTACTGTGCACCTCTTGAATCTAAATTACTAAAGTAGTACTAAATTACTCAAACCTTATCACTGACTGGAAAGAAAGAATAAAAAATGAAAATAAAAATAAAATGAACAAACTTCTAGCGACACTGCATCTACTTTTCCACTCACGATGAGATCATCCTCCCGTATCCTCTCGGAGTTTTTGCTAGCGGCTCTGAACGTAGCCGCCACATACTTCTGCTCTTCCTTTGTGAGGAGCGTGCATCTGGCCGCCAATTTCTTACTTGTGTTGCCCATTCTGAAATCAAATTTCTTCATACATACGTGTAAACGTAACTTTTAGCAGATAACATTTTGATAAAATTTAGTAGGTAATGATAATATTGTGTTCTCCAGAACGAATTTCGGCCACGACGGCTAGATCAATGGAGACTGGCCATCTGAGGGTAGAATGAAATATAGTACACGAGTGTGTGCACAAGCTCAGATGCACTCTCTATGATTTTACTCGCGTAGTCCGACTCCAGCTCCCTGGCTTCCTGACTCCGGCCTGGGAGAATTAACTGAGAATATTTTATTGGCAAAAACCTAATAATAAAAGATCTTAGATCGACCCGTGACTCTAACTAGGAACTCTTCTAGGTAGGGTACTAGATACCATCGTTTATTGCCGCCTACACAGTTGTAAATGGCACTTTGTGTTACGATGTGAAATGCCTTTCTTTTTTTGACTTTGATTAGATAATATGATGTCTCTTCTGTCTAGGAATTTGTCTGAGTAACCCCCATCAATTTCTGACGCCAAGCAGCAGTGCGTGCATTGCTGTATACCGTAGAGTGGCGGCCTCGTACCGGCGGACGAAGTGTAGGGCATCCCCCACTGGATGGAGTGACGACCTGGTAAGACATGTAGGAAGTCGATGGATGCAGGTGGCTCAGGACCGTGCTTTGTGACATTTCTTGGGGGATGTTGCCTATGTTCAGCAGTGCACTTGTGAAGGGCTGTAATGATGATAATGATGATTATGTAGCCCTTAGTGGTGACCACGCATCGATAGCTTTCTTTGTTTAAATTTGGTTGCAGGTGTCCATGGGCTGTAGTAGCTACTTACCATCAAGTGGATCGTTAGTTCGCTTGTCACTACATTTTATAGAAAACTAGCTGTTCCCCGCGATTTCGCCCGCGTGGAGTTATTTTACCCTAAAATAAAAGCAGCCCAAGTTACTCCTCATAACATCAGGTATCTGCCAGTGTGTATAAATATTGACAAATATAGACATTAATATTTATACGATACTAACGTCATTCAATTGTTTTGCCTTCCCGGAACCCCTCCACTAACACTTAAACTTTATGGTATGGTATTAAAGTTCAAATTGTCTTTTAAGTATTAATACGAATCTTTTGTACGGGAATATAGGTGTTATTTTTAAACTTTTTCAGGCAATTTTCTCTCTATAAGAACCATCGTCGTACTTCAAGGAATATTATAAAAAAAGAATTAGCGAAATCGGTTCAGCTGCTCTCGAGATTTGCGCTTAGCAACACATTCAGCGATTCATTTTTATATTATAGATTGGAAATCCAGTAAAATCGAAGCATTAAATTTACCTTCAGAGATGAAATGTACCTGTAGTTTGTTTTTTGTCTTTGTTTAAAATTGGTTGCAGGTATAAGTAACGGCACGAAAGTCTAGCGGTGACTTTGATTCGGCGGTCATTTTGATTAGCTTGTGCGTATCGTTTGCACAAGCTGATTGGTTCTTTAGTTGCAATAGTGCAATTCGATTCGTGGCCGTCCCCTCCAGATTTCGTTCAGCGCTAGACTTACGTGCCACGACTTGTATTAGTATTATGGATTGTAAAAGTTCTACCATCGTGGTATAATTGAATAGATGACTGGGGAACTTGTTTGTCACTTTCACGTATTTTTTTTTGTTATAGCATAAGGGTGCCAAACGACCACATAGAACACCTGATGATAAGTTAATACTGTGGCCCATAAACGCCTACTACTGACCTCGATTAAGAAATAAAATGTAGATTCGTTGTCACCCAAGAGGTCTAGATGGAATGCTTCGTTACCAGCAAAAAGGGTCTCCGGTTCTCTACACTTACAGTACGAAACAGCAGCATTAAGTTACTAATTTACGCTGGTGTTTTGTGAGATCGTGATCCGGAGTAGGACCTAGCTCTCCCAAAATGAGCAGAACCATTCGCAACGATAGCTGCAGCGTAGCTCAACCATGTTAAAAAAATTATAGTTTGTAATAAATAAAAATTAAAAAAGCACAAACGAAACAAAAAAGATACAAAAAATTTGTTATAAAAGACTTGTTCTGTATCCTCTAACATACAGGGTTATTTTGCAATAACCGGCCAAATTTGCAGAAAAGGATCAGAATACCTAATATAGAGAAATGGTGAAGAAAATTTTATGAAAAAAAATGTCAAACATTGCGTCTTTTTTATCTTTTAAATTCAAAATGCATTATTTTAACTGACTTTACTGCGCACGCACACATTCGTAAGGGTCGATAGGTAGGCAAGAACGTTGTTGCCCATAAATCAAATTCAATTTGCGATAATTTCAAATAAAAGTAGAAGCCTTATTTACTCGTATTTTCAAATTCTGCATTATCGGTATATCACTATTAATATATTTGAACTGAAAAAAAACCTTGTATAGCTGCTTTTATTTCAGATGATAAGGCTCATATGTTACACCTGGATAATCGAATAGTCTCATCATTACAGCTTATCTAAGTCTTCAGCGGGACATAGGCCTCTCTTATAGATTTCCACATATGAAGGATATGCGGAAATGAGAGAGAGTGAGATTGAGAGTTTCTACGGACAGCTGTACAAATTGTTGGAGCCACACGCAAGTGTAAGTAACGACCCAAGTGCCAGTCAGCTCTAGTAAGTCTGAGCAAGACTAGAGTGTCCCATCATCAACATGACAAGGCCAGATCATGGGCGAGGATGGTATTACAACAGACTCTGAAAACGGGTGGAAAACCGTTACTTTTTTTAAATAGGCTAGGGTGACCAAACGAGCACACAGTCCACGTGATGGTAAGTGGTTGCTGTGACCCAAAGACATCTACGTCTATCTATACAAATAAATAACATTGAAGTGTCTGTTTGTAATGACAAAATAACAGATTTTTACTACATGCATATAAAAGTGTATAATAAGGTACTTATAACAAAACCACAATTGTTTAAAAAAATTCTGTCTGTCTGTCTGTTTATTTGTTCCGGCTAATCTCCAAAACGGTTGGGCCGATTTTGACGATACTTTCACTGGCAGATAGCTTATGTATATATATAAGGTGTAACTTAGGCTACTTATATTTTAGAAAAAGAAGAAAAGAACCAGAGTAACCGACATAACCCAATGAATCGGAGTAAGTTAACCAGTAAGCTAAGTGTAGGACCACCACATCAAATGTACAGATATACCAATGTGTTTTAAACGGGGAAGAACTGAGCCTTCAGTGGGGCCCCAATATATCCAAACTAGCAAGCAGACTAAGCTCTGCAGTTTATGCTATAAAAATGATTAGAGATCTTACTAGTGTCTAGACAGCTAGATTAGTTTATTTCAGTTATTTCCATAGCATAATGTCTTATGGGATTTCGCTATGGGGAAATGCAGCTGATTTAGAATCTATTTTTGTTTTGCACAAGAGGGCCATAAGAGCTATTTACACCTTAAACCAAGAGTCTCTTAAAGAAATATTTAAAGAAATAAATATATTAACTTTGGCCTCTCAGTATATTTACGAAAATTTAATATATTTTCACTAAAACAAAGGCAGTTTAGTAAAAAAAGTGATATACACTCTGTAAGCACTAGGAACAAACACAAGCTAGTGATGATACCAGTTTCTAGACTTCACAGACTCAGTAATTGGTTCTTGGGCCAATGTATACGATATTACAACAAAGTTCCAGATAATATACAAGGTATCTCTATTACCAAGTTTAAATATTTAATCAAACAAAAACTTTATAAAAAGGGTTATTATAATATAAATGAATACATGGTTGATAATAACACTTGGGAATGAGGTGGTTGCTTCCAAGCTGTTTCTAAAATAAATTTTGTAAATAATTTGTGACCATTTATATCATAATTTTTTTTAAAAGTCCCACTGGGTTTCTTGCTGATTCTTCCCAGGACAGAGGTTTCTTTTCCAAACCAGTGATATTAACAGTGATAAAAATTACTTTCAATAAGAATTACTTGTAATCAATATTGAGTAAAAATTATTCTATTCTACTGAATTATAAATTTATTATTTAATAAAAAAATTAACAGTAAATACTTTGCTGATTGGTACTATAAACAAGAGAAAAACAAAATGGTTCCTACCCAGAAAAGGAGACATGTAAAGAATTTCCCTGTATTTAATAAGTTAAAATATAAATATGCGTAAAATATATAAGTGTGTACAACAATAGGTGTACCAAATTGACCATGTTAAATATTACATAATTTTTTTCATGGATTTTCTTAGGAAAAAGCTTAATATCATTAAATTATTAAAATACCTACAAATCATATTTTATAATCTTAGAGATTATATATTACCCTCAAATCTATTTCTCTGCTAATAAATAATATCTCCTGTATAAGTCAAAAAATATTGATAAATTTGCAAAATGAGTTAATACTATAAATAAAAATAAATACATCATTTACATAACAGAAATAAATATAAACAATCATTATCTTTAAAATTATTAAGTTTTACTTCATGGCAACAAATGAATTATGTAATGAATTAAATTATTACTAAAGGTTAATAAAAATAAATTCATTAAATAAATAAATTCAGCTTTCAGCTTTTTAGTAAAAAAACACATAAGTATTTAATGTTAATGATAATGATAAAAAATTGATATGGTCCAACCTTTGTTAATGAATTTTTGATTTATGGTTATAAACTCACGAGATAATTAATCCTGATAAGTTTTCCTCGATCACAGCGTTAGTGTCAACTTTAGGCTTCTATTTGTACGAGGCCACTGAATACTGTTACTCTCTGATGAAGATCTACCGGGGAATATCTTAAATAAGCTCATACAAACAATCTATCTATCACGTGAAATTTAACAATTAGAGCTAATTATACCAGAGTGATTTGTTACGATACCTGTATTCAGGAAAAAGCAAATCCTAATATTTTATTTACACTTTGTGTACATGTAAACAGTATTTTTATATCGATGTTTTATCATTCATAATCTTGAGTATTGGGACAAACATCCGTCGATAACGTATTATTTTACAAAATACACGAAATTTACATGTTAAAATATTATGGAAATCAATTTCTTTTAATACAAGAATAGATTTACTACTTCGTCTTAAAAGGTTACCTGTCAAAATAATTTTTATTTACTTTTTTTCTATGAGCGATACTCGTGATAACAGTCACTTCCTCACACTGAGCATCTGAGGAACACAGAGCAACACAAGCATAACTCACTCACGTCAAACGTCGTGTTCCTACTTACAGCGACTGCTTAATATAACCTCATTTTAGCCAGCTATTATTTTTTGATCTGGAAATAAACTATATTTCATTGCGCCTTGCCATTGTAAACTTTATTTAGAAAGTATTTTGTTTACTTCTAATCGTAGTAGTAATAGAATAATATTATCTTCTAGCCTTATTAGAATAAAATCTTAAAACTATTTATATAAATAAAATGGAAGTGGCTGTCTATAATATCTAAATAACTGCTTTATATATTGAGCGGAGGGGGTTACTTGCATGCCCTTAAGACATAACGATTTTTAAATCTTTTATCTATTTATCCGTGATTTTTTTGCAAAAAGCGAAAAATTGATGAAGTAAATGGTCTTTGATTATCTTATATCTAAATAACGCCACATTAATAGCTCCTACCCAGGCCGAAATCGGAGCAGATCGTTAGTCTTTTAATAAAATAGGAAAACATACACGTATCGGTGTAAGGGTGAAGGGTGATCACGGCTCCGTGGCGTAGTGGCTTATCAATGAGTTGTTGCGCTGGGGACCGCGGGTGCGAATCCCGCATGGAACAAGTATTTGTATGGCCTATAAATGTTCCGGGTCTGGATGTTTTTGTCCTTGTTCAATTTATGTTTTTAAACTGCCTCCACGACACGAGTAAATCCTAGTGTGGGGGTAACGTTTTTTCAACAAAAAAGCTTTTTGGAGTATACTGCCCTGTACTTGTGTTATCTTTTAGAGGTTTCTAAGCGCTAGAGCGTTGTATGTACATGATGTTTCATTGTGTACCTTTTTTAATATAAATCATTATATACACAAAATAATTTATTAACGTCGATGTTTCTCTGCTTGGGTTTCTCCTATAATATAAAATACCCCTTTAAGAACTAAATTTATAAAATAAGACACTTAATTTATCTTAATTTTATTAAAGAAAAGGTAAGTATCCATTTCATGGTGCATTTTTATACATGTATTTTGTATCATATTAATATCTTGCTAATGAAATAATCGTCCAAAAAACGGACGCAAAAGTTATTGCTGTATAAACTTTAATGGCTTTGTAGAAAGATTCATTTTCGATTCTCATTCCTATATTTTTATGAAGTAATAACAACATATGTATTTGTGGAGGAATACTTAAAGCTGTCGCTACAAATTTAATTCGTGGAAATAAAAATTTTGGTATATAAGTGCCAATTATAACAAAACTAAATATAAAAGCACTTAATATGATATTGCTGTTTGTGTTTTTTGGAAAAATATAAGACCCCATCAAGTAGCTCCAGTGAGCTAAAGAACCCATTCGAAATAGCCAAAACATTTTTGCCAGCAACGTACCGAAAACCAGGTAAAATATAGTCGTAACAAGACACATTTTAAAATCTGGATGTTTTAATTATTAAATTAAAAGTTTTATGTAAATGTCTCTTCGTTTTCTCAAAGATTTTGATGTAATACGGACTTTGTAAATAAAAATACATTTATAATAAATTGTGCTCTCTAAATCTTCATTTCATGTTTTATCTTGAAAAGAGATGCAACGAATCTTGTATATACTTTTGTAGCTTTTGTAGTATGTAACATAACATTCATCATAATAAATCTTCACAGAATCTAATAATTGACATTAATATGACGTTATAATATGACGTGCAAATTATATATTTCCATAAACATATGCAAAGATAATATAATCACAACGTTTAAATATGTGCATATTTCATTAAAAAACATTAGAACGAATGAGAAACTCCTCCACACAAGGACAGTTACTAGGCCGGAATTAAGAGTTTAGCTTCATGCAAAACTTTCACCACAACTATAGGCACTAGACAAAGATAGTTTACGTATAGCTGTTGCTTATAAACTGATATCTTGGAAAAAGATACAATGTTTGGTGTGGGATGCATCCTGAATCAATACGTTTGCTACGACTCGTCTTAAGAACACAATTTACGCTGGAGGAGATGTTGCCAAAACTGCTGCAAGAGGTAAGCACTCATAATATGCAAATTTATCGCAAACATATCACTTTTTATCTTTTACAGTTGAGACGGCATGGCATGCCCTTGGTAAGCAGAATTTTTAAATTTATTATAGTGACCGACCGAAGATTCGGTTTCGGCAAGTTTCGGCAAAAAAATCTAGTTTCGGTAATAGTTTCGGTTTCGGCAAAAAATCTGCCGAACCGTCGGCGGCGCCGAAACTAACGTTTAATTACCACTGGTTCGAAAAAAAACCTCTGTCCTTGGAAGAACCAGCAAGAAACTCAGCGGGACCTTTTTTTAAATAACAGCTTATAGTCAGAGGCGTAGCGTGAACTAATATAAACGTGGGCGAAGTTGCATCAGCCAGTGCAACAGCCCTGTTCTTCGTTTTTTTTTTATAGGATAAGGGTGACAAACGAGCACACAGTCCACCTGATGGTAAGTGGTTGCTGTGGCCCATAGACATCTACATCTATCTTCGATTACGAATCAAAATGTAGATGCGATGTCACCCGTGAGGACTAAGATGGAATGCATCGTTTCCAGTAAAAAGGGTCTCTGGTTCTCTACACTCACCACACAGCAGCGTTAGGCTGCTATTTTACGCTAGTATTCTGTAAGAGCGTGGTCCTTCCCCGGTTGAACTGACCCATTCGTGCTACAACCATAATATAGCTGCAGCATGGCTCTACCACGTACAGGATCTACCCACTAGATCATTCCTACCAAACATGCCTTGACACGACATACCTACTTATATCTAGTAATTCCTGACAAGTCTTGTATTCATTCAGTCGCGGTCTTTGAAGGTAGTTACAACGGCCTTGCAGTCACACTTAAGAGGGGCTTCTTGCGAGGCCCAAAACAAACACACTTAAATTGGTGGTACTTTTGTTTTAGAGCGTAAATGTGATCAAATTATTTAGTCATCTGTGTTAAAGAGTGTCGCATTTTTGGGGGCCTCGCGAGGCCCCTTTAAGTGCGAGGCCGTGGGCGAGGGCTCACGTCGCCCACGCCTAGCTACGCCACTGCTTACAATCATGTATGTAACACAATAAACAACACAAATCAAATTAAAAAAAAAATAAAAAAAATCCCTTAATATTATAATAACCCTTTCTATACAAATTTAGTTTATTAAAATTGATATTGTTGATCGAAGGGTTTTGTATATTTTCTGGGATTTTGTTAAGTTGTGTGTATATTGTGTGTAAGTGTGTGAGTTTGATATATTAGGTAAGTTAATACTCTTACTGAATAATATTAACAATATTGTGAACTCAATAAAATGTTCTCAAGTAGCGAGTAACTTTTTATGGGAGTAAGTGTTGATTTTTTTACAAAATTGACTTAAAAAAGTATTTCTTACCGTTAAATTGTTGATTTTTACTTTAAAATAAATAAATATATTGCTTCGTGACTATTACAATTACTGTTTTTCGTTAATTTGCATGACCATTTGTATATGTATAAAAAATATACCAGATTTCAGTATACAATAAAAAATAATTAACATGTCTAAATAAGTTTCGGTTTCGGTTTCTGCCGAAACTGACACCCAGACCGAAGGTTCGTTTTCGGTTTCGGTTTCGGTTGAAAATCCTGTTTCGGTCGGACACTATGTATTTCTTATTAGGCAGCTTGGAAAGTGTTTAAGGTATACAGGCTACGATGTCCACTCTGGATCGTTTTGCAATGCAGCAAGTTTATTCAAGACCCGCCGGTGGTATGGCTCTATTCGTAATAGTACGCATAGAACAATACGGGCCACCGACGGGTCGGAGATGAGTAGCGATACCAGGCGTTTCCCTCTGTCAAAGTATAAGTCGACGCGGTCCATGTCCATGCGTACAATAAATCTAGTTGTGCGGCTGAATCAACGTCGAAATTTACAAAAATATGGCATTACCTTTCATATAATATATGTCATTTTCAATCACATTGTTGCTATTTAAATATTTTTAAATTTAAAAATTACAATATTAACAGTCCTGTTTGTTTGTTTACCAACACAGTCCACTTACCCTCATACAATAAAACTATCGGTCGAGCAAGTGATCCGAATCTGTATCAAAGTTGTCTCTGTCATCGAGCGATACTGTTATAATATATCTGTGTGTGTGAAATTGTTAGTTTATTATTTTAATTGTTATGGGTGAGTTTCGTAGTGACAGACTACTGTTTTTGTTTGCGCAGATTTCCCGCAAAAAATGACAGACAGTTCTGTATCGGGGAAAAACAGTTACTCCCCTCCAGTCTGCCGGTGCGTGGCCCGTGTTGCTCTATGCGCAAAATCGCACACATTTTTTATTCATTATAGATTACAAGTAATTCGTATTCAAAGTAATTTTTTTTACTTTTACCACTGGTGGTAAAAGTATTAAAATCAACTTAAAACCGCAGCAATCCACCGGTGGTCAAATTCCTGTCAAAACTCCCATTAGCATATGATTGTAAAGAATTATTTTTATCATAATAAACTAGGCTGTATAGACGTTTATCTCTTTGCCTTTAAAGCTTTAAATAAAAAACATCACCATGACTTGGAAAATATCTGACAAATGTCAATCAAATCAATTTCGATTCGTTTCATTTGTTTTGTCATTGTTTGCGTTCAATGTTAGTCGTCGTCATAATTTATTGAGAAAAGTGAAAAAGTAAAAGGCTTATATATTCTTATGACTTAAAATTAGTCATCAAAATGACTTTAACAAAGATGGAAATCGACCCCGTGAAGGGTGAAGGTTTCCGCCCGTACTACATAACCAAGATCGAAGAGCTACAACTCATCGTCGCAGAAAAATCGCAAAATTTGCGCCGTCTACAAGCACAACGTAATGAACTCAACGCAAAAGTAAGAATGCTTCGTGAAGAATTACAACTTCTTCAAGAACAAGGCTCATACGTTGGAGAAGTGGTGAAACCTATGGATAAAAAGAAAGTTCTGGTTAAAGTTCATCCAGAAGGTAAATTTGTTGTCGATTTGGATAAAAATGTTGACATTAATGATGTTACTGCAAATTGCAGAGTTGCACTCCGTAATGAAAGCTATACACTTCACAAAATTCTTCCTAACAAAGTAGATCCTTTAGTTTCCCTCATGATGGTAGAAAAGGTCCCCGATTCCACTTATGAAATGGTTGGTGGCTTGGATAAACAAATAAAAGAAATCAAAGAGGTTATTGAACTTCCAGTGAAACATCCAGAACTCTTTGATGCATTAGGTATTGCTCAACCTAAAGGAGTACTTTTATATGGTCCACCTGGCACGGGAAAAACTCTTTTGGCTCGTGCAGTAGCACACCACACTGAATGCACCTTTATCCGTGTCTCTGGTTCAGAGCTGGTACAAAAATTTATTGGAGAAGGTAGTCGAATGGTCAGAGAACTTTTTGTGATGGCTAGAGAGCATGCTCCTTCAATTATATTCATGGATGAAATTGATTCCATTGGCTCTTCTCGCATTGAGTCTGGAAGTGGTGGAGATTCAGAAGTACAAAGAACTATGTTGGAATTGCTAAATCAACTTGATGGTTTTGAAGCAACAAAGAACATTAAAGTTATAATGGCAACCAATAGGATTGACATCCTTGACCCTGCTTTGCTTAGACCAGGGCGTATTGACAGGAAAATTGAGTTCCCTCCACCAAATGAGGAAGCTCGTTTGGATATCCTCAAAATTCATTCGAGGAAGATGAACTTGACTAGAGGTATAAATCTGCGTAAGATTGCTGAGCTAATGCCCGGAGCTTCTGGTGCTGAGGTGAAAGGTGTGTGTACAGAGGCTGGCATGTATGCTCTACGTGAGCGTAGAGTCCATGTGACACAGGAAGATTTTGAGATGGCTGTAGCTAAAGTCATGCAGAAGGATTCAGAGAAGAATATGTCTATTAAAAAGCTATGGAAGTAATCTTTGCCCTATTAAATTTATTGTTCTTGTCTCTATGTGAATTAGTGTGTTAAAAGCAATCTTACTTTCATACTGCTATTTTATTTGCTAATTAAAAAGAAAATAAAATAGAAACTGGGTATTTTTTTTATTTAGCCTCTATTAATAATAATGTCCTCCAAAACAAATTTCAGCTGTTACTCTAAACAGAATTTCTGCTACTGATAATTTCTTAATGAAAATACCCAAAAACACATGGCCTGAACTGGTATTCAAGCCCGGGACAAAGCAATTGCAGTCACACTTACAATAGGCATTTGATTCTTTCAGGAGCATAACCAAGGTTATAAATGGGCATTGTACTTCCTAAGCCACTTAATCAACATGGTGAATGTGGGCTAATTTCTCAAGAAATGCTTATAATTTAGCATAATATTGGAGAAAGGGGGTATAAAAGGGTAGCAAAATCATTTTACATATAATAACATTATATTAAATCTGGTGATGTAATATGATATTATTAGCTATAAAATTTAAAACAGTTGTACTTATCCACATAGCTGTGAATATGAATGTATATTATGACTGATTTTGTTTTTATGGACATTATTGCTAAAGGTCCCAGGAAAAAGGCTAAAGCTACTACATACTTGTTTACAGACTCCAGAATTCCGGAAGTCTGTTGTTCTTCCCAGGGCAGAGGCTTGTTTTCCATAAAAGTATGCTTCAATAAGTATTTCTTGTAACTTATATTGAATAAGGAAATTCCATATATTATATATAACAATGACAATCTGGTAACACATGCAGGAAGTTGATGGATACAGGTGGCTCAGGACCATGCTTTGTGGCATTGTTTGGGGGAGGCCTATGTTCAGCAGTGGACTTGTGAAGGGCTGTAATGATGATGATGATGATGATGGTGGTACATAACAAACTCACATTTGGAGGGAAAAGATGAGAATACAATTTACTATACCTCCCACTTATATGCATATTATATGCTTCTCGGTTATCCGAATACACTTAATTTGACGGTATTTGAATTGAATTAAATTGATTAAACGGGCTGTTTTCCGCAACTACACGTCTAAGCGCGTATTTTGCGTGTGGGCAGGAATAATGTATTTATTCGAGCCATGAAATCTTCCCGAAGTTCAACACTCTTTTGATGTTGCAAACAAATTCGGGGAGTGATCCCGGCGTGCCGAGATGCTTAGCCCTGTATACAGCGACTTCCGGACACTTCAGCAACACGTGGGCCGCCGTTTCTTCCTCCCCCATACATGTCCTGGACAGAGGACTGTCCGTAACACCTATGGCAAATAAATGTTTGTTAAAGTTACCGTGTTCTGTGATAGCACTTGTTACTATCCTGATCTGCGGCTTGTTCAGTCTCATTAGAATTTTGGTTAAACGACTGATTATTTCAGGCAGGGCCTCCCTATCTTGTCTACAGTCTACTAGATTCTTCCAAAGCTTAGCGTGTTGGTTAGTGAAGTATGATTGGTTCCGGCACTATAATGGCCAGAGCCGATCCTCTTCTGGCCAGTTCGTCTGCTGCATCGTTGCCTCTGGATACACTGTGTCCCTTTATCAATTGCAGAGTAACATTGTTGTTTTGACATATCTCATTTAATCGTTGATGGCATTCATATATTAGTCCCGAGTTCACCACATTGCAACTCAGAGCTTATAGTACCGCCCTACTGTCGGTCAGTATTCTGATGGAGAAGTCATTAACATTCCTAGCATCTATTGCTATGGCTGCTTGAATGATACCCATACATTCCGCCTGAAAAACTGTGTTATAGGTACCCAGCAGTGTGCATATGTGGATATTGAGGTCTTCAGAGAAAGTTCCAGATCTTACACCTTCATTTGTTTTAGAGCCGTCGGTGAAAACTCTAAGCTCTTTTAGGCTTAATACTTCCGGCTGGCTGATTTCATTTAATTGTATCTTGTACTTCTTATCGAATACAAAGTGTTTATGGATCTTATCGTACTTGGCTTGTAAGATAGGAATTTTTGAGTGAATTCTATCAATTATGCCTGTATGAGGGATACTAAAGGGGATTGGTATGATTGGTTCCGGCCCTATAGTGGCCAGAGCCGATCCTCTTCTGGCCAGTTCGTCTGCTGCATCGTTGCCTCTGGATCCACTGTGTTACTTTATCCATTGCAGTCACATTGTTATGTTTTACATATGTTATATCCAATAAAACACCGTAATTTAGGTAAATACGTGTATTGTGCTAGGTAGCAAAACTAATGACAAACTGGTTGACTTAACTGACATTATTTCTTAACAACGTTATGCAAGTACCCACCTTCATAACTATTTATAACAATCTATGATATAACATACCTTTCCCCCAAGTATGTGCATACAATATTCATTACTTACAAACTCAACAACCAACTTCTAATACATCATCTATATAAACTAAATATATATTTCTATTATAATCAGTAAACTTAAGCTATAAAATTATTACTAGGTCTCTCATATGGTAACTTAGAATGAACATTCATTTTATTCCTAATTTTTCCCCCAGAATAAGTTACTTCCATATTAGTTGGTATACCTAACATTTCCGCCCATTTCTCCTGACTAGGTATTTCAATAATTTCTTCTCTTACCTCATTATCTGTCTTATCTTTTTCTAAGTTATAGCCAGTAATTTCCTCTGCTAAGTCATTGTCCATTATTTCACTATTATCTGTGATATCTTGCTTCTTGGACATCTCTTCATCCTCTCTCCGGGTTATCGCACTCATTTCAGATTGTCTTCTGTTAATTAATTGATCAATATGTCTATTTATCAAAGATCCATCTTCTGTAGTAATCTCATAACTAGATGGTCCATTTCTATTTACTATAGTTCCTGGTAACCATCTTGGCCCATTACCATAATTCCGATACATAACATTCTGGCCTGTCTCTGATTCCCTATTAATTTTTTGAGCGTTACTAATAATTTGTTGTGTTCTTTTTCGTTGCTGGCGATTATCAGGATGTAGTGTATCCAGCAAAGTACGTAGGCGCCTATTCATTAAAAGTTCCGCTGGACTCTTTTTAGTTGCTGTACAAGGTGTAACACGTAAACCTAGTAAAATGTTAGGAAGTTTGATATCCCATGGGATGTCATCCATCTTTCGTAGTTTATCCTTAATGGTTTGGACCATCCTTTCAGCTAAACCATTAGTAGCCGGGTGATAAGGTGCTGTAGTGACGTGTTTAATTTTGTTCGCTTCAAGAAATATTTTCATTTCTGTCGATACAAATGCTGTTCCATTATCTGAAACTAAAGTTTCACACAATCCATGTGTTGCAAACATATTCCTTAAATGTCGAATAACTGTTCCAGAAGTCATATTGTTTACAATAAAAACCTCAGGCCATCTCGAATAGGCATCGACGACAATCAGAAATGTCTTGTTTTGAAAAGGTCCGGCAAAGTCTACATTTATTCGAGACCATGGTTTAGTTGGTGTAATCCATTCACAGCTTGTTTTAGGGGGCATGTGCCTGTTTTCTAAACATTTTGAGCATTCCCCTACTAAAACTTCAATGTCATGATTCAATTGCGGCCACCACACGTAACTTCTGGCCAATGCCTTTGTTTGCACGACCCCAGCGTGTGTCTTATGTAAGGCACCTAGGCAAGGCTCACGCAACGATGGTGGCACCACTACGCGACAACCAAATAAAATACATTCTTCATGAAATGAGAGTTCAGTACGATGTAACCAATACGGACGCAGCTCACTGTCCGTGACTCTGTCAGGCCAACCGCTTAGTACGTAATGACTTACTCGCGATAAAGTTCGGTCTCTCTTCGTTGCCGATGCTATGAGATCAACATCCACTGGAAAATCAGCAGGCGTCTCCGCCATAAGCAAAACATCACAATGCTGTTGTTCTGGTTGATCTGGAACTGGCTGTGGCCATCGACTTAAACCATCCGCATTTCCAATTAGTCTACCTGGCTTATAAACAATATTGTAGTTGTGTGACGTGAGTATTAACGCAATTCTAGTTAACCGAGGTGACAAGATCGCTGGCATTGGCTTTTGAGGATCAAATATACCAAGCAATGGCTTGTGGTCTGTAACTATTGTGAAAGGCCTTCCCATCAAATAATTGTGAAATTTAACTACCCCAAAAATGATAGCAGTGGCCTCTTTATCCAATTGGGAATAACGCCTCTCATGCGCATGTAAAGTCCTAGAGCCCATCGCAACAGGTCGCTCTGTTCCGTCCTCCATTATGTGTGATAATACAGCGCCGACGCCGTACTCAGAGCTATCACAGGTAAGAACCAATGGCTTATTAAGATCGTAATGAACAAGAGTCAACTCTGAAGAAAGTAAACGCTTGGCGGTATCGAAACTATTTTGTTCCCGGTCAGTCCATTGCCACATCTGTGACTTATCGAGTAATCTATGTAGAGGTTCAAGAATAGTTGCTTTGTGAGGTATGAACCTCTCGTAAAAGTTATAGAGGCCTAAAAATGCTTGTAACTGCTGTATATTTTTAGGTTCCGGAGTTTTAAGAATCGATTCAACTTTGCTCTGAGCTGGATGAATACCATCCGCATCGATCACAAAACCTAAAAACTCCACGCGTCTTTTAGCAAATTTACATTTGTCTTTATTAAGACGCAATCCTGCTCTTTCAATGCGATCCAGTACTATTTCAAGACGTTGAGTCATTTCTGTCAATGTGCGGCCGCTAATGATGATGTCATCAATCAGCACGGCTACACCTGGTATGCCTGCTAGCAGTGCTGTCATCAAGCGTTGAAATATTCCCGGACAGGCCTTCACGCCGAATGCCAATCTGTGTACGGTGTACAATCCTTTGCATGTATTCAAAGTTAAAAACTTCGCTGTGGCGTCTGTGACCACCACTTGCGTATATGCTCTGTCTAAATCAAGTGTCGTGTAATAAGAACCACCTGTAATAACTGCAAAGACTTCACTAGCCGTGGGCATTGGGTATGTATCTGACTCAGTAGCTTGATTTACCGTACTTCGATAGTCTCCACAAAGTCGTATGTCTCCATTTTTTTTTACTATAGGAACTACTGGTGTCGCCCATTCTGAAAAAGATATGGGGCGAAGTACCCCCTCCCCAACTAAACGATCGATTTCCTTTTCAATCCTTTCTTTTAACGCAAAAGGCACTGGTCGAGCTTTTAAAAATTTAGGAACGGTATTAGGCTTAATTTGTATGTTTACAGGGTTCCCTCTATATGTACCAAGCCCTTCTCTGAAAACAGTATTATATTTATTAAGTACTTTATCAATATCTGTCAAATCAATGTCAATCATATGAATAGTATTTAAAGTAATATCCAATGCTTTAAACCAGTTTCGACCTAATAGATTTGGGCCCGTGCCCTTAGCTATAACAACATTCAAATTACACTTAATGTCTTTAAATTGCACTTGTACTGTAGCCTGTCCCATTACTTGTACCGGAGAGTTGTTCCACGTACGTAACTTGTTAGGCATTATGTCTAGTATAGTTCGAGGGTGTAATTGCATCCATGTGTTTTCATTCAAGATTGAGAAAGCAGATCCAGAGTCCACCTCCATGATCACTGGCACACCATCCAATAGAAGTTTTATTCTATACGCCGGTACCCGTGAAGTCAAACTGTCCAAATTATAAATGCCGTTAAGATGTGTGTCTAACTCTTGTGTATAATTTATATTGCCCTTACGGCTTTTCTTTTTAGCTGAGCAAATTTTTTCAATATGTCCCTTTTTCTTGCAAAAATTACAAACAGCATTTATGAAACGACACACACCACCATGACGATCGCCACATCGGTAACAAAATATAATATTAGTTTGCGATTTCACGGCATTGACATCCATCGGTTCGCATGATGATGATGTTACCGCTGCAGTAGTTGAAAATAAATCTCTGGAGACAGGAAAGTTAGTGCTGGTCACACTTTGCATCATCCGGACATCCCTCACTGCACTTTCAGATGATAGCATGGCATCCACCACATCCGAATACTGTAAATTGTCTTTTTTCAACAATTCATACTGTAACTTCTTATCACTCATACCGCACACAAGTCTGTCACGTAGCATGCGTTCCAAGTCCGTAAAATTGCACCCTGCACTTATTTTTCTAATATGTGCGATATATTCTGATACTGATTCATTTTCTTTTTGATCGCGTTTATAAAATTGAAAAGATACTGAAATCTCGTTTGGTTTCGGACTATAATGCTTCGTAAGAATCGTTACAATTTCCGCGAATGTCACATCACTAGATTTTCTAGGTGTAATTAATGCCAAAACAGTCTCATATACATTTGCACCACAAACTGTGTAAAAATTCGCCCTTTGAACCGCGTCCGAGACGATTCCGTTTGCCTCAAAACAGTACTTCAGTCGTTCTATATAATTGTCCCAATTATCACTTTGTAAATGAAATTCGTGAAAATTCACTGATTTACGTTCCATTGTTCCACTTTTTATACTTCGTCGCCACTGTTATATCCAATAAAACACCGTAATTTAGGTAAATACGTGTATTGTGCTAGGTAGCAAAACTAATGACAAACTGGTTGACTTAACTGACATTATTTCTTAACAACGTTATGCAAGTACCCACCTTCATAACTATTTATAACAATCTATGATATAACAACATACCTCATTTAATCCTTGACAGTCATATATTTGTCCTGAACTTACCACATTGCAGCTCAGGGCTTGTGTTACCGCCCTACTGTCGGTCAGTAGTCTAATGGAGAAGTCATTAACCTTTCTAGCATCTATTGCTACGGCCGCTTGAATGATACCCATACATTCCGCCTGAAAGACTGTGTTGTAGGTACCCAGCGGTGTGCATATGTGGATGTTTCATTTGTTTTAGAACCATTGGTGAAGACTCTAAGCTCTTTTGGGCTTAAGCCCTCCGGCTGGTTGGTTTCATTTAATTGTATCTTATACTTCTTATCGAATACAAAGTGTTTATGGATCTTATCGTACTTGGCTTGTAAGATAGGGATTTTTGAGTGAATTCTATCAATTTTGCCTGTATGAGGAACTCTATTCTTACTCCAAAGATTTAGGGTCTTGAGTCTAATGGGAGCTAACGTCGCTTCTTGTATGTGTAGATGAAGCTGGTTAGCCCCAGCATCGCCTCTAAGGCTGCTGTTGGCCTAGTTTTTATGCAGCCTGTAGCAGCCATACATACGTCTCTGGTAACGCTGAAGTTTCTTTATGGTGGTGGCTTCATTTGTTTTGGTCCACCATACCAGAGCGCTGTATGTGATCATGGGTCGAATTACAGTTTTGTACAGCCACAGTATGATTTTTGGCGTCAGACCCCATCTTATGTTAATCATGTTTTTGCATTGCCAGAAAGTTATACTAGCTTTGTTGATTTTATTTCCTATGTCTTTATTCCAGTTGAGTTTACTGTCCAAGGTGAGACCTAAATATTTTACCTCGGAGGATAGTTGGAGTTTTGTGCTAAAAAGACTTGGGAGATGATAGTTATTCAGCATTCGTTTTTGTGGGAACTTTACTAGAACCGTTCATTTGGATTTACGGTTAAGTCGTATTCCCTGCACCATCTCTCCACTATACGGAGAGCCGCTTGGGTCAGGTCGCACACCATGCTTGCTGTCTTTCCAGAGACCAGTATTGTCAGGTCATCAGCATAACCTACTGTGTAGAAATGACTGGCATTTAATTTGCTGATGAGTTCATTTATCACTATATTCCACATGAGAGGTGAAAGAACCCCACCCTGTGGGCAGCCTTTCTTAATCTGGATTGTTTGAGATTCACCAGCAATCTTTATTGTTCGTGTACTGAGCATGTTTACTATCCAGTTAATCAGTGCCGGTTCAACTTTATGTCTACTGAATGCACTTTTTATGCTGGAGAAGTTCGACCTGTCAAAAGCTCCTTCTATATCTATGAAGGAACCTAGACATATTATTTTGTTTTGGATGGCCTCATTAATCTTTGTTATTACCTGGTGTAGGCGTGTTGTTTGACGTGTAGCGGTACGTTCATTAGTGCCGAGCCCCTTAATTCCCTTTCACACATTCTCTCCATCGTCTTTAGGAGAAAGGTTGTGAGCCAAACAGGCTCTCATTTTGGCAACAACCAACAAGTCTGACTATTAGAGCTTTACCCCCCTCCCCACCCCCCACTGTATAAGTGCCAGGAATACGCCGTCATGTTCTGTCGCCTTGTAGGGGAGGAAACTGTGAATGACCTAATGGATTTTGTCCATCGTTACCACTCTCTGTACTAAATTCCAGTTTTCTGCTGTTGGTGTTTGTGCATTTTCATGCCGGTTTACCTCCTGAATTACGCAACAACCTGGGAAGTGTGTTTTAATTAGGATGCGTTGGGTTTAGTCCGGCGATGTTGAGTAGCTTCCGTCGGGTTTCTTTAAACAGATGGATCCCGGCGTGTTCTGTTTAGCTAGGATTTTCTTTATCCAATTCGCTTGTTCTTAGGTTTCTATGTTACCAAAGAATTTACGCCACTCTATGAAGCGTCTATATCTGATACATTTATTGTATTCGAACTTGGCTTTCTTGTATAGTAGCCAGTCTTCATCCATTGAGGTGGTCATGGCCCTATTTAAGGCTCTTCTTACCTTCTTACGTTTTTTATCTAGTTCTTTACCACCCCACCATTTAATTTGACGGTATCCCAGTACACTTAATTTAACCCAGCTTCAATATCACTTTTTTTTCTTTTGGTCTTTAAACCTAGCGCCTAGCGGGTCCCTTGCCCACACTACCACTCAATTCTGCAGCATAAATTTGTTTTGTTACTTTCCTCCTTCTAACCACTGAAGGATTATTTCTTAATCCTTTGCAGAACTTAAACACAAGAGAGTTAATAGCCCCATTCACTCTTGAGTCTTTCATTTACTCTTCCTTCTATACAGCAGCAGATGCGTTGTCACCCGTGAAGACTAAGTTGGAATGCCTCGTTTCCAGTAAAAAGGGTCTCCGATTCTCTACACTCACCATACAAAACACAGCAGCATTAAGCTGCTATTTTACGCTGGTATTCTGTGAGAGCGTGGTCCTTCCCCGTTCGAGCCGACTCATTCGTGTTACAACTATACTACTAATATAGTTGCAGCATGATTATGATGATATTATACCGTTATTGCAGTCTTCGAAAATACGAGTAAATAAGGCTTCTATTTTTATTTGAAACAAGCTGTTCCCCGCGACTTCGCCCGCGTGTACTTTAGGGTTTTAATTATATTGCTCAGAACCCTAGTTTTTTTTCTCAAATATAAGTAGCCTAAGTTACTCCTTAGAACATCAGCTATCTGCCAGTGAAAGTCCCGACGAAATCGGTCCAGCCGTTTCGGAGATCAGCCGGAACAAACAGACAGACAGACAGACAGACCGACAGACAGACAAAAATTTTAAAAATTGTGTTTTTGTTATAAGTTCCGTATATACATTCATATGCATTTAGTAGAAAGCTGTTATTTTAACATTACAAACAGACACTTCAATTTTATTTATTTGTATAGATTATACCAAATTGAACGAGATTTATGGGCAACAACTATGCGTACGCGCGCTCGATTATATAGAGTTATGGTCCCCACTCACGGTCAGTTAAACTGACATCAGTTCAACTGATGACTTCAAACGGATTTAATCCAAAAAAATTTCGACACACACGGTCAGTTCAACTGATCATTCCAACTGATCAGTTCAAACTAGGGCTGTTGATATTTTTAAAATATCGGATTTTCAATATATCGATAATTATAAATATATCAATATCGGAGTTTTATATATGGGATACATAAGCGATATATTTGAAATAATTGAAACAGCTGAACATATAAAACAACGAATATTTTTGAAAACTCTTACTGACAAATATTGGTAAACATAATTGTCTTATTTAAATTAAACAATAATTCAAGTTAAAGTTACAGCCTTATACGTCCCAATGCTGGGCACTCCTCAGCTGGGCAGGCCTCCTAACTTCTGAGAGGGTTTTAGGGCAACGTCCGCCGTGCTGCCCCAATGCGTGTTGGCGAACTTCATGTTTTCTGAATTTTTTATTTTATTTCTCAGACATACAGGTTTCCTCACGATGTTTTCCTTCATCGCCGAGCACGTGATAAATCAGCACTTAAAATTTCAATTAACAATTTCATTGGTGCCGGCTGGGATCGAACCCGGTTTGCTCGCGTACTATGAAATTTACAGCGAGCGCTAACCATCTGAGCTACCACGGCTCATTAATAATTACTAAGAATTATAACCTAACATTTTCATTCATTTATAATTTAATTTGTTTAATAAATATACTAAATTATAAACTGTCTAAATCATTTTTAAGCAATAAGCATTGATATATCACTTATGTTTTCGATTTATAAAACTCCGATATTGATATATTTATAATTATCGATATATTGAAAATCCGATATTTTAAAGATATTAACAGCCCTAGTTTGAACTGATCAGTTGGAATGATCAGTTGAACTGACCGTGTGTGTCGAAGTTTTTTTTGGATTAAATCCGTTTGAAGTCATCAGTTGAACTTATGTCAGTTTAACTGATCGTGAGTGGGGACCATTAATATATATCTATACAAATAAATAAAATTGAAGTGTCTATATGTAATGTCAAAATAATAGTTTTTTACTAAATGCATATGAAAGTACATACGGTACTTATAACAAAAACACAATTTTTAAAATCTTTGTCTATCTTTCTTTCTGTCTGTCTGTCTGTCTGTTTGTTTCGGCTAATCTCCGAATCGGCTGAACCGATTTTGACGAGACTTTCAGTGGCAGATAACTCATATTATATGGAGGAACTTAGGCTAATTTTAATTTAGAAAAAGAATTAGGGTTCGATGCAAAAAAATTAAAACCCATGAAATCCAATCGTAATAAATTACACACGGGCAAAGTCGCGGGGAACAGCTAGTTAATAGATAGGAAATGATATTTTTAATTTATAGGAGTCACGGCAACTAAACGCGCACGGCTGCGACTTCATCGATCGAGAAATGAAATCCGTTCCGTATATAGGTATATAAATAACGTTTCCTCTATATTAACACTTCAAAAGATATTTTTATTCATGATAAGGTCGGTATTAAGACACTTTTAAGAAATGGGTCAGATATTATGATAATTTTACTCATTATGGTAAATTTTATTTATTTAATAAATGTGTTATTTATTTTTATCTGTTTATTAAATTACCTGTCTGTAGAGCGGGCGACACCCCACTGATACTAACTTGCACTCCTGTTATGGTGAACCCAAAAAAATCCGTGGGCATGGGCACATTCTGAAGGTCTTATGATGACCAGATAATGCTTATCGGTTTTTAGTAATGGAAATAGTTAGGATGGCCTAGTTTTCTGCCACTGAGATCCTATATCCACCTTCGGATTGCACCGTCAGAAAGGTGAGATCATAACAGTCACCT